ATTTTCTATATTCAAGTTTAGTGAGCACATTTCACTTCACATTCACTTGAGGTATCTAATCTAATATAATGTTATTTACAATATTTAACAATATAGAGGTTTCTTTTACCTGCATTCTTCCTAATGGCCAGCAGGGGGCAAAAACGGAATAGAAGTCCATGAGAAAATATCCTTACTTATGCTTGATTTATAACCTCAGTAATCCTTTTTCTGTTAATTTTATGGTCTCAATCTGTAGTTTAAGTCTTCTTCAGTACAGCATGATGATCAAATTGTAAATAATAGTCAGTTATTTTGTTAAATAGACGTTAAGGCAGACTGTGCTTTACCTTCTGAGCTCGGAAGTAAGACATCTTCATTCATGCAATACGAAGATTCAGGTTTACTTTCAACAGTTCAGTCAGACAACTCACGTGTTTCTTTAACATGTTTATTAGAAGCAGCATATAGTTAAGTTTGGCGACTAGGCTCGGGCATCATCACTCCATAGATATACATAGCACGATGAGTGATGATCGAATAACTAACCCCTGAGCCTACAGGTGGAAGCTGGGGTGGAAGCTGGGGTGGAAGCAGCAGCGACGTAAAGGTAGCTTCGGCAATAGCAGCAGCAAGCAATGCATGGAGAGAGATCTGGCAGGTTAAATAGAGCGGCATATTAAGGAGACTCTGTTTGGTTGGTTGTGAGTGGCAAGGGGCGTTATTTATGAATGCAGCATAAGTGCTCGAGTTGACTGCCTGAACTAGCTCGCAGGCTTCGCCCCATTTCAGTCAGACAACTCACGTGTTTCTTTAACATGTTTATTAGAAGTCAGCATATATTTGATTTTGGCGATTAGGCTCGGGCATCATCACTCCATAGATATACATAGCACGATGAGTGATGATCAAATAACTAACCCCCAAAACTGCGTCGAGATTAGATACTATCCCCCAAAACCATGTGGCCATTCCCCCCCAAGCACAGCGCGCTGGTGATGTAAATCGATAAGTAGGTATGTTCCTGGCGAGCTGCCCATGTGTACCATTCTTTCCCCCTAAGCACAGGCGGCTTTAAGGAAGTATATTTTATGTGTAGGCCTTGAGGAATTCTCTGCGCGGAGGTGTGTATCGGGTTTTGAGAGGAATATAATACCTATATAACCTACTAGTGAAACTGCTATTGTGAAGGCCCTTGGGGAACAGCCCGAAAATTATTCGGCGGGCTTTTGAGGAATGTACTACTTATTATTAATGCTACCTAATGAAACTGCTATGTGAAGCGCCCGGGAACAGCCGAAAAGCCATCCNCGTCACCATCCTGCACGCCAAGGTCGCCCAGAAGTCCTACGGCAACGAGAAGAGGTTTGACCTTCTGTGTTTCTAACTCCAACCCTAAACATGCAACCATTTAAAATGTATTTATAACTCAGGGTTAGTACCAATCTTTACAAGAGGTAGGAGGTAGGCAGTGATAGGAGAAGTGTTTTGATTTCTCACGGAAATAAAAGTAATATTAACACAAATGATCCACTTATTGTAAAGTCTTGCATTCAAACCCTTACCTCAAGGTATCTAAATTATGCTTGTCTTCTATTAGATTATGTTTACATGCTTTCTGTTCTCACACAGTTTGTTTTAATGTGTTTACCCTCCATCTGAAACCCTCCATTGTCTCTTTAAGCTGGCTAACCCGAAAAAGCACATTTTGCTTTGATTGGCTGGAAGGAGAATTGAAAATGATCACAGATTATTAAAGATTATTTCGCATAGTAGTCACCAAAGTATATATTGGACATGTATTTTCCGAACATTGACACATGTTTTACGGACAAAAACGAATTTCTTCAAGGCCAATCGTTCTGATTTGTTAGCCAAATAAGTTGAACGGTATCAAAACGTTAAACTATTGTTCGCCAACACCTAGCTAACTTACTTTCGTAATGTTGAATTGGTTGTAAGCTACGTAAATATGTAATGTCTGTTCCTCGACCTAGCAGACAGGAAGTGGATACCATTTCATTCCATTTGTGCGCTTGTATATTTAATCATAGAGCAACAGAATCAGAAATACTTTATTTATCAACGTTGGTAGTTCTTCGGGGCTGGAGATACTCAAATGAGGGGGTTTTATTCTAATCAACCTGCATTTTACGTATAATTGGGGGACACATCTGAACATCTTAATGAATTTAGGATCTGGGCAGCATGATATGTCCTTTAAGTCTTTCCAACATCTCCAACACCATACAGCTGATGTTCTTCTTTAAAGTCTGCACTGTTTCTCGCCCCACAGGTTCTTCTGTCCTCCTCCCTGTGTTTACATCAGCGGTCCGGGATGGAGAGTCATGCAGAACCATCTGAAAGGTGAAGGCACACAAATATTAATTGGAGACGTAAAAACGTTGAAAGGAGGAAGAGGAAGGTAGAGCATTTCAAACCCAGATTGAACGATACATCTCTTTGAATCAGGGTTCGAGAAGCTCTACGTTCCTCGTCCTCCCTTCGTCCTTCTGTTCCTTCATCTTCATCCTTCCATCGTTGCTTTTTATCCTAATTTATCATCGTTTCTCTCCAGCGGCAGGTCATGGAGACGCTGTGTATCGAGTGTGTGGCTTTTTGTGTCTCGACAACACCAGCCAGTCTCAGGCTGACGCTTACAAACTGGTGTTCAACGAGCAGCCCAACTCCAGGGTGAGAGCCGTGTGTGTGTGTGTGTGTGTGTGTGTGTGTGTGTGTGTGTGTGTGTGTGTGTGTGTGTGTGTGTGTGTGTGTGTGTGTGTGTGTTTTATCTGATGTATTGCCATGCACATACCTGTCCTCTGTGTTTGACTGTTTCTGTCCACAAAGTCTCCTCCTGTCTCTCAAATTCCTTCAATGACAGAGGGCCCAATTTACTGGAAATTCAAACTAGCCTTTGTCCCGGTTAAACAAGCCCCCAAATTCCTCTCCAAACAACGAGATCTGTTGTATCTGTGTCCCTGTATTTGTCCTTGGCGGTGGATGAAACCAGATTCATAACGACAGCAAATAGTAAATGGTCTTCAAAGGCTAAAATCCCAAAGTTGCCTCCAAAGGGAGTTTCTCTCCCACGCACTTTGTTTACTTCCTGAACATAGTGACATGTGGCTAGCACTCCAACACCTTGTACATGATAGGCTAAGGAGCGGGACATCTCTAAGCCGTTGACCAATCACAACAGAGCAGGCCAGCTAACCAATCAGAGCAGACTGGGCTCTGGTTTCAGACAGAGGGTGAAAACAGGTGCTGTAGCACAGGAAGTATGAGAACAATAAAGAGCTTTTTGAGACATGTCACAGGAGAACCTGAAAATGAGCATAACTTAAACCCCTTGAATAAAGGTCAAGCTGTGAATCTTGTTAATAGAGGCTCTTAAATCAGAGCAACAGCTGATAGGTCGGCTCTGGATGATAAACGGCCGCTGACCTCAGATCTGTTGTGTCTGAGCGACAGACAGCTCTGTGTCTGTTTACCCAGACAGACCTTCGCCTCTTTATTACTCTCACTGTGGACTCGACAAACAGTCGCTGCTGTAAACACACCGTGTGTGTTCACTGGCCTCCTCATTCACTCAAGCAGAAAACAAGACACACACATCGCTGTGAAGAGAAGAGCTGCAGCGAATAGTCGATCCACAGGAAAGAAAACGCAACATGTTCTTGATAATTGCTTTATCGATGATTTCCTTCTCGTGCAAAAACTTGAGATAATGTCGTTTTCTACGTGTCATTATGTAGATATCAGCTTTTTTCTGTATTTCATCAAAGTTAAAACATTTGGATTTTTGACTGAAAAAAGACCTTAGAAGACATCACCTACGACTTTGCAAAACTGAGATGGATATTTCAGTATTTCCTGACATACTGTATATATTCAATGGTTGTATGTAAGCTTTGTAAACCTTTAAGGATAGTGAATGTCGTATATATAATATTGTGCATTGCTTTTATTTATTATAACATGTCATTTATATGTAAAGCACATTGTGTTACGTGTTATAATGTGTGAACTGTGCTATGTTGAGATTATTTTTGAACAAATACAGAAAAATGTCCATCCCAGTTTCTTAATTCCAAGGTGATGTCTTTGTCTCCACTTTGTTTAAATAAAGTTTCAGTGTGTGTATTCTCGCACTCCTTCTGTGTTTCAGATGTTCGCCTCGGCCAAGTCCCTGTTCATCTCCGACCAGGACAAGAGGAAACACTTCTGCCTGCTGCTGAGGCTCTTCCTGGGAAACAGACAGGAAGTGGGATCGTTTCAGAGCCGGATGATCAAAGTTATCTCCAAACCGTCGCAGAAGAGACAGTCCATGAAGAACGCTGACCGTGAGTTTAATCACCAACGCACCAAGCATAATGTTACCAATGTATTTTATAAATGTCATTTATATGGCATAATCAAACATCCATGGTCCACTAAGCCTCAACAGAAACTACCTACTATCAGCAAACACTAAGTGAGGATATTTAAAATGTTGGCCGGTCCCCCGTTTGTTTGGATCAGTTAATTTGATACAGACAAGCATTACAATTGTAACATACAAATACTTATGTTTTTAAAATGTTGGCAGGAAAATCTGCGACGAATGTCCACAGACAGTTTATTTATTAAAAAAAAATGTTAGGATATAAAAGAAAGAGCATTGAGTCACATACACGGAAAAATACACAATAAATAAGTTTAAAAATAACGAAAGTATACACACACCTTCAACCGCCTGTTTGAATATGTGTCAGTTTGAGTGTGTGTGTGTGTGTGTGTGTGTGTGTGTGTGTGTGTGTGTGTGTGTGTGTGTGTGTGTGTGTGTGTGTGTGTGTGTGTGTGTGTGTGTGTGAGCATCAATGGAGCCTCTCATGCCTCTGCAGCTCTAATGAGTCTCTAAACATGTTCCCACGCTCAACAAAGGTTGTGTGTGTGTGTGTGTGTGTGTGTGTGTGTGTGTGTCTAACCAGATGCAAATGATGCTCCGATGTTCATCCAATAAAATGCACATTCCTGCAGGCAGAAAACCAATGTAACTCTGAGACCCTGTGTGGTGTGTGTTTAAATTTGTGTGTGCCTGTGAGTCAGTCCTTACAGTATCCCTCTGTTTCTGTGTGTGTGTGTGTGTGTGTGTGTGTGTGTGTGTGTGTGTGTGTGTGTGTGTGTGTGTGTGTGTGTGTGTGTGTGTGTGTGTGTGTGTGTGTGTGTGTGTGTGTGTGTGTGTGTGTGTGTGTGTGTGTGTGTAGTGTGTATCTCGTCGTGCTCCAGAGTGGCTTTGTTTAACCGCCTGCGCTCTCAGACGGTCAGCACGCGTTACCTCTCCGTGGACAGAGGAGCTTTCATCGCCAGCGCCAGACAGTGGACCGCCTTCACCATCACGCTGGGTACGAGTCTGTGTATGTGTGTGTGTGTTATATGTTAGTCACACATTCACTTATTCCATACTATAAAGGTCATATTGTGGTCAGTCTATGCATGAATTGACTGTTTGACATCTGAAGATCAAAAGTATTTTTTATAATCCAGAATTTTCCTTAAAGGGGCCCTATTAAGCTTTTGGGGTTTTCCTTTTCCTGTAGTGTGTTGTATAGCAAAGTAACATACTCGTACTTCTATTGGCTAGCGCTCCAACAGCCAATCAGAGCAGACTGGGCTCTGGTTTCAGACAGAGGGTGAAAAGAGGTGCTGGAGCACAGGCAGTATGAGAACAATAAAGACCTTTTTGAACATTAAAGCATGGAGACATGTAGAGACACTACATACTGATATACACCTGAACATCAGCAGGAGAGGACTCTTTAAAGTAGAGACACTACATACTGATATACACCTGAACATCAGCAGGAGAGGACTCTTTAAAGTAGAGACACTACATACTGATATACACCTGAACATCAGCAGGAGAGGACTCTTTAAAGTAGAGACAGGTGTGTGTGTGTGTGTGTGTGTGTGTGTGTG